GTCCTTGGTTTGTTTTAAACCGTATTCATGTTGACATATGTAGAAATAGTATGAATGAGAATGAATATCTTCACAGAACAAGAGATGTATTTGTCCGGTTTCGAATATATCTTCATCGGAAATATATCACCTGACATAGATATATACCAGTCAAATACACCTCTTGTGCTGTGAAGATATTCATTCTCATTCAAACCTTAACTACAAGTCTTATATATCACTGTTGTTGTTTTTTTGTTGTTGTTGTTGATGTAGTTGTTTTCATATATACACATATAAGTCAGTGGTCTAATCAAGTTCATATCAGTGTCCTATTTGCGAACTCCAAGAAAGGTGCAGCAGTCCAGACTGATATTCAGTACAATACTGCTTGGTTAGTGAAGTAAAAGAGAAGCGATACTTGAACTTGACAAAGGTCGAGTGCTGTTCCTGCTCGATACACATTTCATCAATATTCTTTTTTACTTTTCTTTATCGTCACATTATTCACTTTCTTCATTGTTTTCTCCCTTGATAAATTACTTTCTGACTCCATTGTTATGCCTGACCTATTATACCGCATTTTACGTCATAGGTCATTGGCCCTATTACGCTTTCTTTAAAAGTGCTTACATAAATGACAAAGTGATGATGACGGTGATAACTGTAATGATAATTATGATAATAATAATGACAGTAATCACAAATTGGATAAGAATAATGATGATATTAACAATAATAGTAGTACTCTGAATAAGAATAACAATGATATTAATAATAGCAATAATATTGATAAGAATAATAATGATTGATAGTAATAATAACTAATGATAAATGGTTAAGTGATCCCTATCAATCACTTCAATATTTCTTACACAAGGAACAGTGATAATTAAAGGCTAATATAATCCCATCAACGTTAAGTGGCCACGCAGCAGATCATTAAATATTATGCTTTACTGTTGTTACATTAGTGTATTGCAAAACCCATTCATTTTTCCATGTCACTGCGTATCAACTTGTGACTCAGTTGCTAAGGATATAAATACGTGGAAGATTAAACAAATGGATAAAACTTTCTTATACATCTATCACTCATCCTCCAAGGAACATCCCTACCAAATGGACCTTTTTTTGACGTACAAACTGCTTCGTAAAATCGTTTACAATCTAGAGTTATTGTTCTCGCTAATGCTCATGGGGGAGACTGTAATTATTGTACACGGGGGAATGTTTGAATTTATGGCACTTTTTACCACCTTCTTTGTTCAATTAAGCTCGCAGGTGTCACACTCTTTGGTGAGTGACACAGTTGATACATTCGTGCTAATGTATAATCCTACAGTAAGTGCTTCCTCCATTAATAAACTAATAAACTAATAAATAATAATAAAGTAATGCAGTATAAGAGAACGATTTAACATATAACCGCAGCACAAACTATTTTATAAAACAACTTACCGAACTATTAATGCACAATACCAGAACAATCTCACGGATTACAACCTAACCACAAGACACTATACCAGAACAACCTATCATCTAACAAAAAAAAGTCAAAAATTCATTAAAACTATCCTTTAAAAACACAGCACGACCCAAACGACCTCACTAGCAAAACAAGCTATCGAACCCACTCACCTAACCTAACCGCCTCCCTGCTCACCTTATCCAAAATGACGACTGTGAATTCACCATGACGAATGGCTTCCAGGATCTGTTTGTAGGCTTGGCTTGTAGGTAGATCCACGAACGACCTATTAGTGGCGAATTCAAGCCAGTGGGAGCAGTTGTTGGTCGTGATCACTGGCTTTCCATCGGACTCTTCCGTCGGGCTTAGGAAACACACGTGGTCGTCACAGTGGTGGAAGGACCTGTGAATGCGAATATTGATTATCTTTGGAGAATTAGTATGTATATTATTATTATTATTATTATAGTAAGCGATATAAAGAGCCACACTGAAGAAATCGAGATTTATACCACCAAAGGTATCAGTGCAGGTCAAAATACAGCTAAGATAGAATGAAAGAATAGAAAGTCAGCTATTTACATAAGAAAAACATGTTTCTTCGACTTATCAAGAGTCGAAGAAGTTACAATCTCTGAAGGCAATCTATTCCAAAGTCTACAAATAGCAGTAAAAGCCATTTAGAAAACTGACGTAGACGATAGACTTACATCAAATGTAAGTGGTCAATCTGGGAAATGGAGAATCAGTGTAAGTGAAGCATCTAACGTGCTGAGAGTTAGTGACCCAGAAGTAAATGACTGATCTTGGAAATAGAGAAATTTGATATGATTGAAGTGACGAATCTGACGAAAGAAGTGATATAATACAAATGACTAATCTGGTGGAAGGAGGACTAATATACATGACTCTGGTATTTAGAGAATTCACTTGAAAATCGGTAGCTAGTCTCGAGAGAAGGAATTTATTTTTTAATATTAGGGGCAAATCTGGGAAGCGGAAAAGTATTTTGATAATTGGTGTCTAATCTGGTGAAAGAAAAATCAATTT